TCGAGTTCCATTCCTGAGTGGGGAGAAAACTTTTATCAAGTGTCTTGGTCTTCCTGCTGGGGTATTGTACTTGTATCTCTCTCTGCTCAGGGTGACTCTGTCTTGTGGGGAGCCTGCCTTCTAAATGATTTAAATTATGTCAATAAGACATAAACACACTACATTTAATTTCTTTTTAGTGGATGGCTCAGTAAGTAGCTCAATGGTCTAGGGAGGGGAGTTTCTGTTGTAACCGACCCGCCAATTTATGATTAGTGACAGTGACCTATCTCATGAATGATGAGGGAAGTGAACTTCAGCTCTTTTACTTCCACTGTACCTTAGTTTTGAACAAAAAGAAGCACATTGACTCTATAATTGTCATTCAGTGCTGGGGAAAAAGCAAGATAAATGAATAGAAACAATAAAGCGAAAAAAAAGGTGTAGAATCTACCCGTAAGCACCCTCCAACCCCCCAAAAAGTAAGTGTACGGAATTTAATGTCTTTATCGACATTATTATGTTATTTTAGAGGCAGACCTCTGAATTTAACACCCGCATCCGATAGGAGTGAGCCAAATAAGATGTGAGCCTTAAACACCCAGACTGGAACTTGAACCAGGGCCATCAGCCCCGAAGTCCAGTATGATATCAACTAAGGTAACAGAACGCCCCAACCCAACAACAGGACCTTTTTTTTTTTTTTTTTTTGGGAAAGGCTAGGTGTAGATCTTTCCTACCAGACGATCAGGGGTGTGGCAGAAAGACAGCTGTAAGAAGGAGCCAAGGAGTAGCAGTAGAAAGGCTGCAGAAATAGTCAGGAGCCCAGAGAAGGGGGCAAAGGAGGTGAGGGGGTAGGGGAAGAAAGAGGAGACGAAAGCAGGTGACAGAATATTGCTAGAGAGCAGGAAAGGAGGTGATAGGAGACAATTTTAGAGAAGAAAATGTTTCGGTCGCTACCCGGATTCGAACCTGGGACCTTTGATTGAGAGGCCAACACCTTAACATCGAGGCCTCGAGAACCCCCTACACGACCTTTTGTTTTGTACAAGGTTAGGAAAAGTGGAAGTGAAAGTTTGTACTCATTCAGTAACAAAACCCAGGAGGACATGGTCAACTGGGAACTTTACTGGTCAGCCTCTTCTTTTTTAGATGGTTTCTTTTCAGCTTGGTGCCTTGACCCTGGCTCTGATCCTCAGACAAAATGACAGGTGTACAAATGGTCCTTTGTACCTATGATATTGTTGAGAAAAGCAGCTATAGTGCTATACTAAAGCTGTTGTTTTAGAATAACATAGAGTTAATTCATATACAGAGTATATATAGCAGCATACAAACATTTGTAAGCACCTTGCGTAGGCACAGACTGGAGGTGCAAAGTAACTCTTGTAGAATTTCGTTTATGTTTCAGACTTTAAATTGACAGCTTCGTTCAAGAGTCTGCCATCCACCATTTTCAATTTTGAAAAGTGATGTATGTTGGAGTCTTAATCTTACACTGAAGGGTGGAAATCTTTTTTTCTTCTCATCAAATAAAAAGGAACTCAACTATTGTCAATAACATTTTCTTATAGAGAAAACATTTGATGGCAGAGAAATTAAGGACAATGACTTGTCCATTAAATCTGATGACAATGGCTTATAATTATCTCAGCAACCATGGCGATATGACTGATCATGTTTAGTTCTTCAAGCCCCAAAGCCCTGAACATTGGTGGATTGAACTATCCAGTACACTGGACTTGTCCAGTGCTCAGTGTAAGACTTTTCAAAATAGTCGATGTGTATCTGTACTCGTACTTCAGGGTTTTTTGTTTGTTTTTAGGACCATCAGAGGATCTTTAACATGCGTAACTTGCACATGGGACCTCCAAAATTTTTCGCCCTTATTTGAGAAGGCTAGGTGCTCGATCTTACCTACCATAAGATCAGGGGTGTGGCTGAAAGACGGCAATAAGAAAGTGTCAAGGAGAAAAACTGACTGTAGGCTGTAGGTTTGAGTCCAGTTGTCAACATGGGTCACTTTGATGATGATCATAATTATTTCCTACAGAGCAAAGTTAAGGCATTCCCCTTGGAGTAAATGCTTTAGTAAAAGTCTTACGGCACTTGAAACACAATTAGGCCACATAAATGCCAAAGATTAAAGGTACTACAAGAGGGTAACCGACATAAAAAAGGAGAGATAACGCTGAGAAATGTTCGATAGTAAAGAAGAAGCAAACCACACTAGGGCACCAGCCAACCATCCACATCGAGAGTAAAATTAACTACCATTACACTTCTGTACAGCGAATGCACACACCAGTGAACGGTGGTGTTAATCTAGCAGTCAACATCAGGGAGATAAGGTGTCCCAGTCATCGGGTTTCGAAGGTTCAGCAATGAAAAAAAAGTAGACCAAGAAGGTTACAAAGGAGTTTTTTGTTTAGTTTTAGTAGAGTTTTGTTTTTGTAAAGTGTTTTACGGCGCTCGCAACTGCATAAGGTCATATGAGCGCGCGGGACACACCTAATAATATTTTCAGTTGGTAGGAAATTTTGAATTTTACCCGGGTGCTGGCCGAAGCCTACTCTTATCGATTTTAGACCACCAAGGGATCTTTAACGTGCGCAACTAGCACACGGGCCCTCCGACATTTTTCGCCCTTGTCCGAAAAGGCTGCCGTTAGGTGTAGATCTTTCCTACCAGAATATCAGGGGTGTGGCAGAAAGACAGTAAGGAGGAGCCAAGGACTGGTAGTACAAAGGCTGCAGAAAGAGCCTGGAGCCCAGAGGAGGGGGCAAAGGAGGTGAGGGGGTGGGGGCAGAAAGTGGAAATGAAAGCAGACAACAGAACATTGCTAGAGTGCAGGAAAGGAGGTGAAAGGAGACAATTTTAGAGAATAAAATTTTTCGGTCGCTACCCGGATTCGAACCCGGGACCTTTGAATGAGAGGCCAACACCTTAACCCCTAGGCCACGAGAGCCCCCAGTAGAGGTTTTAAAGCGCTCGCAACTGCCTAAGGTCATACGAGCGCCAGAAGATTAGAGGTGTTACAATCAAGAGAGTAACAAACACAAAATAGAAGGAATGGAGAAAAGGACGACAGATGTTTGATAGGAAAGAAGGAGCAAACCACACCAGAGCACCCACCAACCACCCACAAGGAGTTTTTGTCTGTTTGAGCACAGAGAATCACAGCAGTACAATTAGTACAAAACCATCATTTTGGCTGCTTTGAGTTAGAGTTAGAGGAAGACTCCACCGTATGCCATATTGGGAGGCTCTCATGGCCTAGAGTTTAAGGTGTTCACCTCTCGGTCAATAGGTCCCGGGTTCGAATCCGGATTGCGATGGAAATCTTTCTTCTCTAAAATTGTCTCCTTTCCCGCTCTCTGTCAAGGTTCTGTCGTCTGCTTTTGTCTCCACTTTCTGCCCCCACCCCCACCCCACCTCCTTTGCCCCCTCCTCTAGGCTCTTGACTCTTTTTGCACTCCTTTCTACTGCAACTTCTTGTCTCCTTACTGCTGCCTATCAGCCACATCCCTGGTCTTATGGTACGGTAGGAAAGACCTACACTTAGCCTTCTCGCACATGGGAGAAAAATCTCGGAGGTCCCGTATGCAAGTTGCGCAGGTTAAAGATCCCTAGGTGGTCCAAAATCGATAAGAGTGGGCTTCAGCTGCCAGCCGCGCAAAATTAAAAAATTTCTTACCTACTAAAAATCTTTAATTTAATGTGTCCCGCGCTCATATGACCTTATGCAGTTGCAAGCGCTGTAAAACACTTACCAAAAAAACCCCGTCATTGTGAAAAGTAACGCATGACAGAGTCTTACACCGAGCAGTTGACTTGCTGTCACGGAAATCTTGTTTTGGTAAGTATTTTACGGCACTTGCAACACAATAAGGTCATATAAGTGCTGAAGATTAGAAGTGTTACCAGCAACAAAAAAGAAGGACGGAGATAAAGATGATAAATATTTGATAGGAAAGAAGAAGCAAACCACACTAGAACACCCGCCAACCACCCACTATCAGGGAAAAAGCATGACAAAAATAAAAGGGGGATAGTAGCCAAGTAGGAACCTGGAGAAGAATCACAGAAATAGATTTACAGAAAAGTGGGAAGATATGGAATAATGTCAAGAGGCTAGCCCAGGATAGAGAAAAGTGGAAAGTGTTTGTTCGTGGCCTATTTCCTGATCCAGGGTGAGAAAGACAGTGGTGATGAATGAAGTTGGACCTTCCAGTGCTTTCCCCCTTGTTTCATGCAACAACAAAAAAATGAAATTATGAAAACTGAGCCCAAAAATGTGAAATTATGCGATTCTGTTAATTTTAACAAACAGCGATGAAGGAAAATTAAAAGAAATTATGCAAAAGATGACAAAATTTTGCTAAATTATGCGGGGTGCATAAAACCACGGGACAGCCAGTGGCACCGTCCTGTTGAGACACTTGGTCTGCAGATTATGAAAAAATGTTTTGGGTCCATCTCAATTAGTTCATGAGACAACAGGGAAGAGCAGTTGCTGGGTTAGATTTTAGTTTTAGTAAGAGTTTTACGGCACTTGTAACACAATAAGGTCATATAAGTGCCAAATATTAGAGGTGTTACAAGAGAGTAGCAAACACAAAAAAGAAGGAGGAAAGATCAGGACGATAGATGTTTGGTAAGAAAGAAGGAGCAAACCACAACAGAGCACCCGCCAACCACCCATCAGGTTAGATTTTAAAGCCAGCCTGCAAAATAACTACAGCCGGGCACAGATAACATTCCGCGACTGATACCTCTTTTTTCGTTACAGTTATACTTATAAAGGTTAACGCAAATTATGGAGGAGTCCAATACATTTGTCAATTCCCGATGTGTTTGACTTACTTATCCGTGCCCAACTGTACCACATTTATTCCCAAACAAATAAGAATAGCTCTTGTAAGTAGAAGGAGCAGACCACAGCAGAGCTCCCATCAAAGCCCTGCAGAAGCCCGCCGCATCACGGTACAACCGGCACAAAAAGTCAACACCACAAACTTCGTAATTCTCGATACTTTTAATATACATTACAAGTCCATGGGAAATGGGTGAAATTAACATGCCTCAAGGCAGCATAAAGAGCATCGATCAGACACTACTGAGATAACGAAGACAGAAATAGAACAAAAAAAATCACTGTTGGCATGACCTGCACTGTGGGCAATTCTTGCCCCAAGTCAACAAAGAAAAAGTATTGCTGCACAAGTCAATGTCATAATAAAACAACATCAAGAGATCCATAGCAAGATTAATAAAGGCCTACTTGTTATTTAAGTCTTGCATCATACTAATCTCTATACTTTTTTCCCCAAAATGTCTGCCCCAATCAAAATCCTTTCACAAATCTAAACAGCTGCGTATTAGAATGCAGGGAGAAGAAAAATGTGAACGGCAATTTACTGAGGATATTTTTGTAGTCGTCTTTAATAAGTACTATAATGAAGACAAAAATAGTATTTCTTGATATCAATACACCTACTGCTATTAAGGATGAGCGGGCTAACCCAGGTTTCGAGGGTTTCCAGAAATCTTGACCTTCATCAAAAGTGGGCATTGCCCTACCTCTAGGAGGAGTTTAGTTTCATTGGTGTGTATTTGTTTGGTTATAGAGAAAACTCTCCTTGTCTTTAAAAGAAACCGAACAAGGGGCAAAAACTTTACCTTCAATTTTCTCAAAACAGCATTTTACGGGATAGCTCCCTTGTGCTTAAAAGCAACCATATAATTTCTCTGAAAGATGTGTAAACATACCTCCTTGCCCAATTATCAGATAAAATAAGTTCATGAAACTGTTTCATTCATTAAGTATGGGCATGCAGAAGTTCACAGCTTATAATATATTGTCAAAATTGAAAAGGAGCCGATAAAACGTATAGAGATGATTTATACTTAACACCAAATACCTTGGCACAATTATCACTTTCTTCCTCTCAAGTTACTCAAATGACAAATTCTAAAAGCATGACTGAACAAAAGAAGCTGCATACTGTATACATTTATTGCATCAAAATCATGCAAAGATGAACAAATAAGAGTCAGGCACACATTTCTAGTCTTATTAAAGACTCAACAGTTGTACAATCTGAAAAGTGGATCTTCTGATTACATGCAGACAAATTGTTACTATACCCATACCCATCAAAGTGGTACGTCATATACTAAATTGACTAGTCCATAAGTACCAGAAGACATGTGGCTTCTACTTCGACAATCAAACATGCCGTATTCATAAAAAGGGAAAAAAAAAAAAAAGAAACCCGTCCCAGCTTTGGGTACTAGGCTTCAGAAAATAACTATTGAAGTTTTTTTCCTCTTCAGAGGCTCTGACTAGAGTGCCCCAAGTCCAAGGCTCTGAGCCCAGAAGAAATTGATGAAAGAATGAAAAAATTAGAAGAGTATGACATCTTCGAGGTAGCGGAGGTCCCCACAGAGAGAGCAAAGTGTCAATCAAAAGGGAAGGAGAGCATTCACACTAGATCCAGTTCCTCAACCACAATTGGACAATTCATGGGACAAGCTTGACAAACTAAAGGCATCACATCAGTTATGGATTCTGACAGCAATTTTCTATCTTTGAGTAATTCTTGCAACTTGAGGCCCATTCTCTCCCTCACATTGTCTCCGCCACACTCAAGAATAAAAAATACTATTAAATACCAGAGATCATTAACTAGGTCTATGGCAAATTTATGTGAATGACAAAGCATGAAAAAGTCACAGAAATTATGATTGAGTGAGAATTGAGTTCAAAGCAAGGGACTTTACCAGCTTACATCAAAAATGGTAAACTGAAGTATGACCAGAATCACCTGGTGAGACACAACAATAAATCAATAGCCAATGCGCTCCCATCAACTCTTTTTGTCAGCAAGGCACGTTCTAGTGCCAGTCAACCATAACTGTACCACTTCAATGCCACTAAATGTCAGACATTCATGAAACAACGAGTGAGCAGGTCTGTTGTTCACTTTCTTTGTTCCCTTGTCAGTCCCCTGATCCACCCCAAGGTTTGTGTGTTAAAGAGTCATGAGCAAAACTGAGCACTTCATTTCTCAAAGAAATTTAGGAATGGCTGTTGCAAATGACTCTTGAGATTAGAAATGACATTCACAATGATAATGAGATGAAAGATTTGAAGGAACAGGGCAGAACAAAACACATTTAGAACAAAATTTAAATGACAAGATAAATGAAAAAAAAAAAGGTTTTAATGAGCCTCTTGCTCTAAAAAAACCCCAGCATTAATGAGTTGAGGATTTCTCCAAAATATATTCATCATAAAACAACAAAAGTGAAGTGAGCATGTGTTTCGAACCTTTCCAGTAGTAGCTGTCCTCACTGAGAACATAGATGTGATGGAAAGTGCAAGTAGATGGGTGGTGGTTGTTGTTTTAAGTACCAATAAACACACTGGCACGAAGTGGGCTCTTTGCTCATTCAACACAGACGCAACCGCTCCTTTTATCAGCCCTTTGGACAGAGCTCTCTTCAACTGGCTTACACTCTCATCAGTATTGTGCAATGTACTTTTGCACCTCATACACAAAGGACACACCTGCTTTCACAATAGAACACCATCTGTAATGGCCTGGGACATTGATATAGAATTCCTACATCTGTTCCTCTAAAACAACATTTGCACAAAAGCATTTCACTAAAATAGTTGTCACAGAGTTCTGATAGTACGTACTATCTCTGGAAAACACATGAGTCATAAGAACAGTAGACATGAGTAAAATGTGTCGGAAACCAATTTAGACACTGTGTAGTATTATCACTAGACCATACGAGAAAGATAAACCAGACTATATTTACTAATATCATATTTTAACGATAATAGCTATGCTTTGCAGTCTAAAATTTATTAGTAACAAGCTACAAGAAAGCGTTGCGGCTTAAGACGTATGAATTTCTTAAGGTGCTGTCAATCTCAGAACTTGTTGGCAGACAGAGGATCAATACTTCTGCACCACATTCAGGCGGTGGGGTTCTATCATCAAGGTTGTTGCTTCTTAAATCCGAAAGTTACAAAGCTTGAGCACATTCAACTTTTTTATACTTTCTGTTGAAACGCAAATCACTCTGGGGGGTGTTTCGTTAACAGGCCTAAAAAAGCTTTCGGTGCTGTTGCTATCTCTATACGCTGACGGGAAATATGGCTGATCAGAACAGGCAGCCTGAAAATAGCTCAATTATGCCTGACATTGACAAAGCATCACTATAGAGTATAAAACGTCTGTCCTCTCCATCGCTCGGTGGTCCAGACTGTTGCTGAGATATTGCTGCAGTGGGGGTGGGGAGGAGGAAGAGGAGGAGGAGGAGGAGGGGGGAGGGTGTCGGTAGAGGGTGTAGCGTCGCTAGCCTATGACTGTGATGAGGCACCACCACGGATTTGACTGGCCTCGCCCATCAGTGTGTGCAGCATCTGGCTCAGCTGGTCGTCCCCAAGCCCAAGGTCGCCCACCATCTTGTCTCCTGTGCTGCCCTCTGGATCTGAGAGTTATCAAAGAGAAACAAAAAGAGTGTCTTTAGTACAACTGAGTAGACAGTCGAGTACGAAAAACTCAAACACTCCAGGGACTGAGAAATGGGCTTATAATAATAATAATTGCATTTACATAGCGCATATCCATGCTCAAGAGCTTGCTCTATGCGCTTTACAACTATTATTACCCCAGCAGACTCTCTGAGAACACTCAGAAACATTCTCAGCTTGACACATCCATAAATCAGGTTCATCAATCATGAAGAAATAAAGAGATATCAGTTGGGGAATGGCAAATGTACAAGCTATCCGTGATTTTGAGTTTTCTGTGTTCGTGTTATCTGTCCCCGACTGTACAAGCAAGAAAGAGGCACAACTTCTTTGGCATCACCAAAAAAAAAAGAAGCAAGTGTTGAATAGAAAGAACAGAGGAATAACGAAAAGACACACCTGCAAAGAAGGTAATAGCACTCTCTGAAGTAGGATGTGAGGAACTTACTGCACTATCAAAGTTATTCGAGTAAGAAATCCTGATCAGGAAGAGGCAAATCTCAAAACAGTAATACTTTTGTCTATAATCTTAGGGTTAATGACCCTCTAGCCTCAAGGCTGTAAAGTAACGACAAATATCTATTTATTCAGCAACTCGGAGCAGTGTCAGCAAAGATTCTAAAAATCTTTGGTGTCAATGCAAAAACGGCAGTCAAAAGGGAAACCATTTGCAGCAAGCCAGCTCAATGTACGAGTACGAGGCACTTAGTAGAAGAAAATATTGATCCAACCCTAAGCAGGGAGATCCAAAACTCCACAGACCTTGCAGCAAACAGCAGCCTTTGCACGAGAGACTGGGATATTCATTTAAAAATGAACAAGAAGAAGAAGAAGAAGAATAATGATCTATTTTTGTTTTAAAAGTCTGTAAAAATATCCCTCATACCTATGTTTTGGTAGCCATCAAAATTGTGGGAACCACTGTATTCTACATGCATGTACTGTGAGCGAAGACATGTTTTTGTCTTTGAGTCTTTTCAATATAATAACAATCATAATAATCATAGTTGCATTTATAAAGCTCATATCCACACTCAACAGCATGCACTCTAGGCGCTTACAAACGTAATCTTTATTTCTAGAGCTTTTTTGGCACTTGTTCTCATATTCCCAATCCAAATGCAGTCTGTACATTTTTAAGCAGTCTCCATGATTCTATGAAGTCTCCAAGCAGCAGTCTGTATGTCTCTAAATCAGTTTCAAAACAGTCTCTACATCTCCCTCTCAAACTCAAAGCAGCCCCTATATTTCTGTCCCTATATTTCTGTCACACAGCAGTCTCTTTGACTTTTGCCGCCTCATCTCGCCGATAGGCGATGTATACCATCCAGTTTCTTTGGATTCTCCCCAAAATATGATGCAAAGTGTTAACTCTCTGCCTCAAAACAGCCTCTATGTCCCCGACACAACTGTGCTTTGTCTCACCTATGAGCGGAGTCTCATCGTACAAGGAGCTTTTCCTCAAGAAGGCTGGCACTTTACGTCTTGTTCCCACTTTCAAGTCCATGAGTTCATCACAGGCATGTTTCCATAATGCTGCCAGACAGAAACAATAACAAAAGATAATTGTATAAGATAAAACTTTAACCTCCCTGTGGGAAATTTTGGTGGCTTGACAGGGATGATTAAAAAACATGTTGATGAGTGTATGGGGAAAAAAAACAAAAAACATGTTGATGAATGTATGGGGAAAAAAACCCAAAAAACATGTTGATGAGTGTATGGGGAAAAAAACCAAAAAACATGTTGATGAGTGTATGGGGAAAAAAAACAAAAAACATGTTGATGAGTGTATGGGGAAAAAAAACAAAAAACATGTTGATGAGTGTATGGGGAAAAAAACCAAAAAACATGTTGATGAGTGTATGGGGAAAAAAAACAAAAAACATGTTGATGAGTGTAAAATTTAAATCGCACATTACTTTCATAAAAGAATTTCAATAAGCATTTTTCTCTTCTTATAATAAGAACAGAAAAGTGAAAAAGTTTAAATGTCACATCAGACGCATTTCTCAAACCACAGGCAGGAATCTATCACAGATTTATACACAGTGGTTAACATAGCCGGATACAAATAACAAGAGTAAACTCAAAAAAGTTTTCGTAACTAGTTTTACCCACAAGGGATCTGCAGTTGAAATAGACACAGCATCATATTGACTTTCCCTGTCCTTAAAAGAGATTCATCCATTATTCAATATTTCACGAAACATCAAATTTAACTTATGAAACAGATGAAAAAAAATAATTCTAGGCATTTTAATGACCATAAAACAAACTTTTATTCACTTGTATCTACTAGATTCAAATATTGTGAAGTGTTAAGAGCTTTCTAATGAAGGCCGATACTAAAGAACTTTTAAAAAAGCAGTTACGAAAATTTAATCATATTCTATTCCAAGAAGATCATATTCTATTCCAAGAAGAATATTGAGAGAGAGAAAAACAACTTAATTTGGTACAATTAATAATTTTTCTCACTTGGAAAAAGTAACCTTTGATTAGCGTTAAAATTTAGATTGACAGAGGCACACCTTCTAAAAAACCGTTATAAAAATAAAAACTGTATACATTCTGCCCGAGCCCTTTCTAAAGAGAAACAAAAAGAACACTGACACAGTGGTGATAATCATTGCGATGGAGCAACCGTTTAAAACATACAATCGAACCTGCTCCAATGGCCACTTGTATATATATGACAATCACCTGTACAAACAGCAACATCATCCCATTTCTTCCCTACAATATTTTTTTAAAACCATTATAATGACACTGTGTAAGACATCCACCTTTCTAACACAATCAATGTGTGGCCATCTTAAACAACTCCGACTGTATATTTAAAAACCAACAGCCCACTCGGCCATACCTTGGTCTAGTAAATGTTGCTGGAATCCGTCCCACCATCGATTCAAGTCCTCTTTGGAGTCTGCAGCGAGCGTGTGGTGGAAGATGCCGTTCAGGTTGACGGTCTTGATGAGGAATGAGTGCGGCTTTCTGCTGGTGCTGGGGTCAGCGTCGCTGATCTGAGTGCTCTACACGGAAGGAGGCACAAACAACGCCCGTCAGTCATTCGGTTACAAGTTCATTGGTTATGTACGGGGGTCATTTGGTTATGGAGTCATTTGGCTATAATGAATTATTTTGTCAGTGTCACCACTGCCTTTCTCGCCCTGTATCACGGAATAGGCCACCTTTCTTCATCCTGGGCCTTTCCACTTTACTGTACATCATTCTCAGTCAGTCATTTGGTTACGAGTCATTTGGTTATGTGTCATTTGCTTATGGAGTAACTTGGTTAGGTGTCATTTAGTTATGAGTCACTTGGTTATGTGTCATTTGGTTATGTCTCATTTGGTTATGGAGTAACTTGGCTATGTGTCATTTGGTTATGTGTCATTTGGTTACGGAGTCATTTGGTCAGGTATCATCTGGTTAAGACTCATATCATAAGTGTTATTGTACAAGTCTCTACTACTATATCATTTTTTGAAGTTTTAAGATTATTATAGAAAAAGAGATTGCCAATCAAAACCTTGATGTAAGCACTTATAATTTTTCAGGGTTTTAAAAAAAGTTTTTGTAAGAGTTTTATAATGGCACTTGCTACACAATTAGGTCATATAAGTGTTGAAGATTAGAGGTGTTACAAGAGAGTAACATACACAAAAAAGACAAGAAAGATAAGGATGATGGATAATATTTGATAGGAAAAGAAGGAGCAAACCACACCAGAGCACCCGCCCGCCAACCACCCACAGATTGCTGCGTACCTTGGTGACGGGTATCGAGAGCAGAGGTTGCGTGACTTCCACATCGTCGGGGCTGGACCAGCAGGCCAGCTGGAGGTTCTTCAGGGAGCACCAGTACCTCTTCCACTTGGACAGATCATCGTCCTCCTGGACACACGGACAAACAAATAATTATAGATAGATAGCATTTGTATAGTGCAAATCCCTGCTCAATAGCAAGCTCTTTTTAGTTTTAGTAGAGGTCTTACGGCGCTCGCAACTGCGTAAGGTCATATGAATGCCAGAAGATTAGAGGTGTTATAAGAGAGTAACAAACATAAAAAAGAAGAAGGGGAGATAAGGATGACAGACGTTTGAGAGGAAAGAAGAAGCAAACCACACCAGAGCACCCGCTAACTACCCACTAGCAAGCTCTATGCGCTTCACAATCTATATACTATTACCCCAGCAGACCTGAGAGCATTCTGAAATAACCTCAACTTCCTGGGAAGCATTCAGTGCAAGCGGCCATTTATAGGCGCTAAAACATAAACATACTGACAAGATCTTTCGCTGTCTATGTTTTAGTTTTAGTAGAGGTTTTACGGCACTCCCTGCAATTTTTTTTGGCTATCATACTGATACTGTCCAAGTTGTTCATCTGTCTAAGACAGCCACTTTTCTCCTCAACTATGAGTGGCCACTTGGACAATATCTACTGTGATTTATGAGTCAGTGTGAGTTCTGAATCGCACCTTAGTTTTAGCACGAGTAAGAGTTTTACAGCAGTTGCAAATACAAATTGGTCATGCAAGTGCCGGAGATTACGTAGAGGTGTTACAAAGAAAAAGAAAGAAGAGAAGAAATAAGGACGATAGATAGATAGACAGACAGACAGACAGACAGACAGATAGATGTTTGATAAGACAGATGGAGCAAGCAAACCACACCAAAGCAGCCACCAACCACCCAGTGGGGAGGTGTACCTGTAAGTTGAGGAATCCTGTGACCGTGGGCTGCACCAGACACTGTGGCAGGGCGGCCAGACGGCAGCAGTAGTGGCCAAACAGGGGCAGCTCTGGCACTTGGCCCTCTGAAAATATATACACAGATACATATATTTGAAAAAAAACTTTTAGTAAGAGTTTTACGGCACTTGCAACACAATAAGGTCATATAAGTGCCGAAGATAAGAGGTGTTACAGAGATTTTTTTAGTTAAAGTAAGAGTTTTACGGCGCTTGCAACACAATAAGGTCATATAAGTGCCGAAAATTAGAGGTGTTACAGAGAGTAACAAACACAAAAAAACGAGGAGAGAGAAGGACGATAGTTTGTGATAAAGAAGAATGAGCAAACCACACCGGAGCACCCACACAGATACATATATTTTGTTTGTTTTTGTGAGAGTTTTATAGCACTTGCAGCACAATAAGGTCTTTAGTTTTAGTAGAAGTTTTACGGCACTTGCAACACAATAAGGTAATATAAGTGCCGAAGATTAGAGGTGTTACAAGAGAGTAACAAACGTAAAAAAGAATGAGGGGAGATAAGGACGATAGATGTTTGACAGGAAAGAAGAAGCAAACCACACCAGAGCACCCGCCAACCACCCACTAATAAGGTCTTATAAATGCCGAAGATTAGGTGTTACAGAGAGTAAACAAACATCAAAAAAAGAAAAACAGAAGGAGGAGGAGAGATAAAGAAAATAAACAGTATAACACAGATAGCTCGAATTCGTCGGGACCGACCTTGGTAGTTTGAGGGATCCGTACTTCAAGGGATATCTGGCAAAGATTCCCCCCCACCCCAAAAGAAAAACAACAAAACACACCGGGACCGGAGGCACAGTTCGACGGATGCATGATTTCGAGTCTTCTGTGTTCTACCTATCCGTATTATACTGTGTTTTTTTTTAAAGATTAGTAAATGTTTTACAGCATTCACATACATGTGGACATAAACACACATAATACACACACACACACACATATGAACAGCCACACCCACACGGAGACAGAAGTCGCCAAATAGGGGACACAATCATCAAATATATGCATGGATATATACATCCAGCTGTATCAAACTAACGGCAACCCCCATGGGAAGCAGGCCTTAGTTGCTGTTAGGCAGAGGTTGCTGATAACGGAATTTTCAAGAGGGAGGGGGTGATCTCCATAAAAACATAACTTTCACAAAATGAAAACGAGATGAAATACTAGAGTTTTTCAACAGCAACCGCCTCATCAGTAAAAACACAAAGAGGTTAGATAAGAGAGGATCTAACCGAACATCTTCCACATATTCCTGCGGGCTGACTCACCTGAATTGGTCTCCAGCTGTAGGTCAAATGTGCGGACAGAGTTGTCCACATCGGAAAGACTGAGGGATCCCTTGGCAACCAGTTCAAACTTTGGACCTCTGCAAGGGAAAAGTCAAGATTTAGTTTTAGTAAGTGTTTTACGGCGCTTGCAACACAATAAGGTCATATAAGTGCCGAAGATTAGAGGTGTTACAAGAGAGTAACAAACACAAAAAAGGAGGGGAGATAAAGACAATAAGATATTTGATAGGTAAGAAGAAGCAAACCACACCAGAGCACCCGCCAACAACCCAAGGGAAAAGTCAAAGTTAGTCTATTAATTACAACAGTGGGCATTCTATACATACGGGGGAGCCTTTAGTTCTTTCAGGCTGCGTTTGAGTTTTGCGTCACTTACAACGCAAATAGGTCTATTCGTTAACATTCGTAAAATCAGTATGGGGTTCAGTTCAGTTTGAGTAAAGAGTTTTACATAACTTGCAACACAAATAGGTCATATAAATATACAGAAGATTTGAGGTGCTTTTAGACGGTAACTTACAAAGAAAAGAAGGACCGAGAGATAAGAACGATATGTGTCTCATAGGAAAGATGATGGAAAAAACCACACCAGAGCACCTGCAAACCACACATGTTTGGCAGTCTAAACAACAGAGTCTTGGTAAAGTTTAGTTTAGTAAGAGTTTTACGGCGCTAGCAAAACAATAAGGTCATATGTGCGGCAGAAGATTAGAAATGTTACAAGAGAGTAACAAACATAAAAAAGAAGAAGGGGAGATAAGGATGATTGAGGTTTGATAGGAAAGAAGGAGCAAACCACACCAGAGCACCCGCCAACCACCCACCAAAGACATTTTGAGGCAAAAATCACTTGACTTACACACACCTACATTGACAGGGTTCAGGAAAAGAAGGATGAAAAGTTTAAGTAAGAATTTTCAAGTACTTGCAACACAAATAGGTCATATATGTGCCAAAGACTAGGCGTTGGTAGAGAGTAACACGCCTACAAAAGAAAAAGGAGAGATAAGGACCATAGATGTTTAGTTTAGTTTTAGTAGAGGTTTTACGGCGCTCGCAACTGCATAAGGTCATATGAGCGCCAGAAGATTAGAGGTGTTACAAGAGAGTAACAAACATAAAAAAGAAGAAGGGGGAGATAAGGACGACAGATCTTTGATATGAAAAAGCCATAGATGTTTGATTCGAAGCGAAGGAGCAAATCACACCACAGCACCTGACAACCACCCACCCC